ATTGTCGCCGCCCACGGACACCCGCCACATTAAAGGAGTTACGAGTGCGTTACCGAGCTTTTGGGGATTATAGTTTCGGAGATTTATTATCGATTACATTAACAATTTAAAGTAGATCTTATCTAACCGGGTCAACTGACTTAAATTTCTATTTTTTTAGATAAAATACTCCCACGCTTCTTTTGTAATGATAAGCAAGCAGTGTAACCCATGGACACCCGCAAAAAGAGGGAGAGAAAATATATGTTTGTTGCCAGCTTTTATAAGACTTAAAAATCCCAAAAATGTAAAAAACGCACTCATAGTCCCCAAATCCTAGCCAGTCTAAGTCCCCTGACTCAAAACACTCACAATAACATATTTATTCCTCTATCGGAAGGCTGTGAGCAGTAAGTAAGTACAAACTCTCACTCTGTGCCTCTGAGTGTGAGGATTTAGGGACTGAGAATGAGGGGAAATGATTAAGTCTCTGATAACCTCACTCACACAATCTGTAAACTATATACCAGTTAATCACAGCAGTTAAATTGGTTTTCATTTTGAAACCAATACCGATGTATCCACGAGATTATCTTCTTCATCATCAATATCAGGTATCAGCCCGTTTCCGTCCACTGCCGGACCTTTCCAATTGCACCTTACTAAGCTGGAAGTTCAGCTCTTCTCATCCAACCACTGCCAACTACACTGCGGTTATCGTCAGTCTACCCAATACATATAAACCATATTGTATATCTTACTTAGGTAGTTACCGTAAGCGCAGGTCTGCGGACGGCGAGTAAGGGTAGGTCGCCGCCCGACCAGAACCAGACCCGAGCGTACGGCGCGTAGTGTTCCGCGCGCGCCTCAAAGAGCCAACAGACCACCACAGACGGCGCCCTATAGGGCTAATGTTCAGCCGGGGTTGCGGGGTAAGCTCAATGAGGCACCGCGACCTCGGCCTAGAGCAGGAGTAGGAACGGGGGGGTTTTTAACTTTTTAGACAGTAAGAGTCTGACACTCCCTCCCGCCCCATCTGGGCGGGAGAAGTCATTTGATGATTTTCCCCTCACAAAAAAAGGTAGTTACAATTCTATTCTTCTGATAAAGGTCACAAGAATATTAAGACAAATCTTAATATCAGACACTATTTACCTCAATTCTGCTAACAAGAAGAATTAGGCACGTAATTGAATCGAACATTGTTCTGTTTGTGTCTAGTTGATGAAATGTAGGCACGTTTGTAGTCTGTCTGTGCGTTATCTCATTGATACCACATTTTATTTAATTAATCAAAGACTGTAGTTGTGGTATTTATTTAACGTTGAACATTAGTATTGCCTCCTGTGTCGTGGGTGCGTTAACAAACTTACAAGTCCACATACACATAAGCCACACAGACCCGAAACAACAATGTAAGGATCACACAATGTGTTGTTCAGGAATAGAACCCGCGATACGTTGCACAGCCAGCAGCAGTTGCCTAGCCACTGCGCCAAGAGAGCAGTCAAAGTTAGATTTCCGCTAGGAACGATGTTTCTGTGTGTAGTTTAGATAAAATTCATTTTTATTTTTTGTTACTTGTTTTTTTTTATAAGAGCGAAATATATTTTTTTGTTTCTATCATTGTAACATAAATCATGTGATTCGTCCCACCCAGAACTCTAATAAATTATTAACTCCTAACAATAATGAACTTTTAAATTAATGCTAATCTTATAACTTCCTTTTATGTCATTTAAATAATTACGTCCCAGTTGCAGAACTTTTTCGATCAACTTTCAGCATATTGATTAGCTATTAACGACTTTATGAACTTCAGTATTGGGTTTAGTTTATCATAAGACCAGGAATACTTGACATATAAACTGGGAGGCAGAAACAGTAGAAGAGTATGAATAATCCATATATAATATATATAAAATAATCTAATCTATAAATATAAAAATCAATGCCACTTTTCGTTGTAATGTTATTATAACTCAACAATTCCTTTACCGATTTGGGCAATTTTGGTCTTAAATTTTTTGTAGAATTGAAACCAGAAAAGGTTTGTGCGTACCTAGAGAAAATAAAAAAAACTTGAAAAAGTGTAAAATCGACATTCACGCGGGCGACCGCTAGTAGTTATATATAATTTCATTGTTAATTAATTATTATGTTTTCGGCTTACCCACACATATTCAGCGTATTCTGTAGCGCGACAGTCGCCGCCGATTCGCGTGTCGCGGAATGCTGCTCATGAATATGGGCCTCTAGCATGGCTTGAAACTAATCGAGTATCTCGTCAAATTATTACGTGAGTAAGCCGAAAACATAATAAATAATTTAGAATGTCTCACGAAAGTTATAATAAAAACTTCATTGTTTTTACCAGTGATCTGATAATAAGTGTATTTTAAAGAAAAGGGTGGCTAACACCTGATGGTAAGCAATAAGAGCCGCCCGCCTATGAACACACGCTACACCAGAGGAGGAACGATTATGAAAGTTGACGAAAATTTAAGTTATACAGAACCTAAATCTGTTATCAAGCATCATCAACCGTTCAGCGGCGGTTGCAGGTACAACTTCCATAATGTACTGAGGTTGAGGGGAGGCCTAGAGCAGGAAAAGACCCGCACTAGTTTTGAGTTTGTCACAGTCTGACACTTTCTTTTCCACACCTAGGGCGAGAGATGCCATTTTATGAGCATTATCGTCTTCTCTACCTAAGAAGATTTTCCATTGTTTCTAGACCTAGCAGACAGGGTTAGAGACCAAATCTCTAAAGTCAGTTTTTTCATAAATGCTAATTTCTTTGTTTGATTTAATGATACCCGCAGAAGACCCAAAATCACCAGACTATTGTATATTATGTTTTCTATTCAGCCAACAGTCACAATGATCAGTTCATTACAATTCAGTATTCATTTAATCTCAACTAGTGTCTGCAATTGGCTTCGTTTGCAGTGCATAGTAAAAAGTCTGTGTTATTCCAGACATAGTCTATCTCGGTGCCAAATTTCATCTAAATCCACTCAGTATTTACGACCTGAAAGAGTTAAAAATATTCATCCTTACTACTATTTACAAACTTTTTCATTCACAACATTATTATGATAGTAGTGAACTACAGAAACCCACACAAAGAACCACGTAAAAGATGTTTAATTAAAGAAGGTAAGGAATGTTTCGAAGCCCTTTTGAAACTTTCAATTCAATACAAAAGGTCTTAACCAAATTATGAAGAGTAGGTACCTTTTATGAAAGTTCGGACGGCATTTTGTTCTTCTTTAACGAAATGTCAGGGGTTCTTGCTTAAAACAAATAATAAAATACATTTATCTACATGAAGATCTTCTGAAAATCCATGTGAATTCACCCATCCATCAGTTTTAAGTGTAGGAGAGCCAAGCTTCGGCCCGAATGGGTCGGCGCGCGGAGTGATGCCACGGCCTTACAGAAAAATAACGTGAAACAAACACAATGTTTCGCCGTGTGAGTGAGGTTATCGGAGGCTCAATCCCTACCCTATGTCATTCCTTCCCAATCTTTAAATATCCGCAAAACGCACTCGTCACTTTTTTGGTGTTGCGGGTGTCCATGGATGGCGCTCTTCCCAACCAGAAAAAAAGTTTGAACCCTTGCGATGGAAAATCCTCATGGATTCCTCTCAGTCTAGGACAGAGAAGGAAAGAGGACCGACAGACCTCTACCGTTCTAATGACTAAAAATCACCTACTAAATAATACGAATACAAAATTGAGTTCAATCTAAATACCTATGTCATGAATTATATGAGTTCTCAGATACCCAATTGGATGCTATGTACCATCCTATTAAATAACTGCCTTAAGACCTAGAGCAAGGCTGGGGTTTTTTTGTGAGGGAATAATCATCAAATGACTTCTCCCGCCCAGGGCCGGGCGGAAGGGAGTGTCAGACTCTTACTGACTAAAAACCCCCCTGTTCCTTCTCCTGCTCTGGGCCGAGGTCGCGGTGCCAGCAAGGCTGGGGTTTAAATGACATAAGCTACCGCAGCCTTGGCCTGGTACAGGAGGAGGACCTAGGGAATTTTTAGTCAGTAAGAGTCTGATACTCCCTCTCTCTTTATTTTAGGGGAGAGAAGGCATTGCATATTTTTCGCTCCTCAAAAAAAAATAGCCAAGAACAATATGTTTACAGTATGGACATTATAATTTAAAATATATAAGTAACCGATGTTTTATAACGTTGCAAGACATGTACAGTTGATTGTTTAGCTTAATCAAATTCATGACACATTTGCAAATGGCTTTTTTCGACATTTAAACGAAGAATAAAAATAAAACACTTTTTATTTTTAAACTCGAAGGAATAGCACTTTTTTATTTACTTACCACTAAAACTTGAATCGTCATAAAATTATTAATGTACATACTTTTAAAAATAAGTAGGTATAAGCAAAGAAAACAATATATGAGAACGACTCAACCTAAATATCCTCATAATTTATTTATCACCCCTCTATATTCCGCTAACCACAAATAGATACGATTATTGGCCAATTAATAAAGCTAGCGTTTTCCAAAACCAATAATAATATTAAATTCCAGTAATAAGTTATTGTTATCAGCTTAGATAAATATTAGATAGTGTAATATAATTGCATTGTATTGAATCCATATGGTTACCATGGTCACCCATGCATAAAAACTTCATGGTCGCCTGATAAGGGTAACCTTGAATCATTAGATAACAATGGTTATAAATTTTAACACTGACATATTGTGAAATATTTATATATAAAAAAAAAGTTAAGAACAGATGTTTTTAATTCAGATCTGCTGACAGTTTGAAGGCAAAAGTGCAGGAAAAGCTTCTTAAACGACAAAGAAATTAGTTTAAAAAAAATTGTATGATAATTTTTTCTTGCAGATTAAATATTTATCATTAAAACTACAGAAAATGTACTTAATAATCGCTTAGTACAAAAAAATGGTAAGTATATAGTTTGACACGGCACAAGGATAGCGAAAAAAGAATTGGTTAATACTTACGCTCATTCTATTCAAGGATGAGAGCTGCCAATCATTCACTTATCCAAAGTCCCAACACTATCATAAACCGGAGACAAATGACGTTCGCACTGCACGACACATCCTACAACTGTCTTCATCCAGACACAACCGAATATTGGCCGAAATCGTCCCAAATACCAGTCACAACACACCCACGCCACGCAAAACGGCACACAATATAAAAATAACGAAACACTATGTTCCTAAGGAAACACTGAAGGCTAAAGTCCAAAGGAATCTGTGCATAGTCGATAACATGATCTCTCCGGGTCAAAAACTGAAATTTTGAGGTTATCTAAGGGATCGGTAGATGTAGGACACATTTAGAACTGCCCCAAAGCTATAAGGTTGAAAATTGCATGCCGATTTGTATATGTGTGCGGGGTTCAACGTCATGGAATTGCGTTTGTGTGTGTTGTTGGCGTGTGAGGAAGGGTATGTTTAGGGTGGAATTTCTATGTGTGTGTGATTGAGTTCGGGTACACATGGGGGAAGGATTTCCGCGATGAATCTCGAAACTGTAATGTATCATATATCATATCTTCAGTTCAGACTCTTTGAAAAATGCCTCTTTTATTATAATGAAACTAACTATATAAGCTCCTACTTCTCAATAATTTTAAAGGTTTGCCAATTTATATTGTTCAAGTTTGATTCAGATGAAGATTTTGCCTTAAGAGAAAATCAACACACATCTTACATAATAACAATAAATGAATATTATTAAAACTGTTGGAGTTTGGATTTCAAATTCACAAACACATTTAGAAACAATAAGTATTATATCCTGCCCAGAAATATCCGTGGAAACCTAATACCTTGTGTTTCCTCCGACTGAAAAGGATCGATCCACGCGCTTAAGGGTGAACCTTACTCCACAAACTCATCGGCTTTTCCCACAATCGTGTTATACTTTTCATCTTCTAATTCCATACAAAAGAACGAGACACAGCAACTCGCAAAGTGATATTATTTTCACAATCGAGATTAATTACCGTAGTAGATACTTCCCTCTTTTCATTTATTTGTACGAGTGAATTAAACACACACACATTGAAACTAGCGCAACAATATTTATTATCTGTCGAAAAAAGATTTACTAGTAAAAATGCAACTCTTTGCCTAACAAATAAGACTGAAAATCCGTTGACAATTTGTTCTTTGTAATTGTTAATTGAGGATAAGTGAAAAGCGTGGGAGAGGGATGAGAATAGATTTTAATATGGGGATAGAAAAGGAGGATAATAGTGGATGTAGTCTGATAGTAATTTTTGTATGTGTTGTTTTGTATGATAGTAATGGGTTCGTGAGTTATCTTTATTTGTACATCCACCACGACATTAAGTAACAATTAGTTTGTCCAGATGAATCCCTTTGTATTCGTAGTTGTCTGTCAATATGTTTTGTTTGTGTAACTTATTTCGAAAAAGTAAATCAGTTTTTGATTGAATTTTCTCATTACATATTTGGTGCACTTTCTCTGGTTTAAAATTAACGTCCATTATACATAGGTACCTACATATAGGTAGTACTGTTTTACACAACTGATAAAGCCATAAATCTAAAACAAAGAGTGATGAAATGTGTGTAAAGTATTTTATTTACCTACTTCAATGTTTATCTCGCTAATCCATATGTGCAGCATAAAACACGTCTTTGCGCGCGTTTCTTATCTGCCAATATAAAACGTCCAAACAGCCAGTCGCAACTCAATTTATTTTTATCGAAATGCACTTGACATGCGCGGCTGACCTCCGAATCGATGCCTCTTTGTTGTTGTTTTATCTCGCTCTAACATACAGAACCACTAATACATCTGTCTCACCCGTCAAGGTGACGATAACGTCATTTTCACCCAATGAAAAGCGACGCACGCTGTCTTAGTGGTTCACATTTATTGTAACAGATGGCGTTAGATGTCGATGTTTTAATGTCCGTGCAGGAATCTACACTTGGCAAGATCAATTGATTTTCTGACCTTCTCATTGAAGTTGCTTTTGTAATAGAGCGATTTAATTAGGTATGAGTTGATACTTGTTGCAGTGACTAGTAGAATAGTAATTATCTCATTACTGCATCATTAGTTTGCACCTAACACAAACATTTTATTGCTTTTATATAAACACGGCTGCTGTTTATAATTATGTAGTTGAGGAGGGCTATGTAGTGAAATGTGTTATTAATGAGTACCTTGTTTGAACAATTATGTTATTTTAATATACTTTTCTACCTAACTTCGGAAGCATAAAATGGTAAACGTAAATAAAATGGTAAAGGTACCTACTCTAAACTGAAAAGATATCTATCTAACATTTAGGCAATCACAATATCTCATTATACACAGTTTTTATTAACCAACAAGGGAGTCCAACTAACTGACATTCATTATCATCATCATCATCATCATCGGCCGTCTCCTTACACTGTCAAGTTTCTAATAACCCTTTTTGATAATACACCACTGATTTCAATATTCAGCTAACTGCCTGATGTTATACGTATAACATTAGAAGATATAGAAAGGCCATGCCTCAGCAAATACAAATGGACCTATTTGGCCGGAGGTATATATACAACGGCTTTATAAGAAACCACCGTGAAATAATGCTTGCTTTTTGTTAAGCGGTGTGAGAGAGGTTACTAAAAACCAATTCCATTCCATCGCTAAATTTCGACCGCACAATTCTAGCATCGCTCTCCTCTGGTCCTCCACTGGTCTTGCTGGCAAGTAATCCTTATGCTTGTTTACCAAACTATCCCATAAGAACACTGGCTTAAACTTCCTGTAATGAAGGTTATGCAAGATCCTCATTTCCTTTCACCACATCTTTACATCTTCATCCTCTTATCAGATAAGTCACGTCGCATTACATAGCCGTGAGAACATCATTGCGTAATGTGCCTCAATTATCTCGTTGCTACGAGAAATTTTATCTTTGAAAATTTTAAGGAGCGGGCTTATTATATACAGCGGTGATTGGTATGAATGGCATGTCTTAATACCACGCCATTCCTTGGGGTTTCACCAGTACGTCATCAGTGGTAAAGTACCTACTAACCATTATAAAGAATGTTATAAACTACCAATTGCACCACTTCCGCATACATAAGCTCTCAGTAATGCTATGTGGCACATAGATCATAAGACAAAATATGACGAAAAAGCGAACCTCAATTAAAAAGTTAGGTACTTGTACAAATGTGTTTACACATCCGACTGACATTGAAATTACTTAACTAAGTAGGTAATATACAAAATTCTAAATTTTGAAATGACACAAATAATTTGATTATAAAAAGATTTTTCCCCTTTGGTTTCGTTCTATTTTGTCTCAGGGGAAAATCAACAATTGGCGAAAGACCTCTAAGGCTTGGCTCTGGGAGTGACATGTTCTTGCTCGTTCTCCGCTGGACACCCTGCAGCCGTATACTATACCGAGTCGACAGAATGGTCCGGGCAGTGGCGACACCGTGGCATTCGGCAGCGTGGCTTCTACGCACTCCTCAGAGAGGGGTCATATCGATGATATCTAACATAACATTTATTATTTCTTATATCAATATCATTACTCCATGATATTTCTCTATAGAACCATTGGGTTTTTACGTAATCGTCACGATTAGCGATCTGGTTGGGATCACAGTTAATAAAAGATTTAGAAATCTTGACTTGGCTACTTATCAGAGCTGCTGCTGCCCGGCCTCTGAAAAATTTATTCACTATGAGATACTTATAGTGTTACCGTGGTTCAAATACTTTCTTAAAGGAGTCCCTTCACAATGTCGGTTTCTCATACAAATGTTTGTGGATATCATTAAAGACTAGATAAAATAACTATCAACCTAGTTTATGTTGTCCTCAAAATTTTCATGCTAACATAATCAAATTGACGACACAATCAAATAAATTTGAACGGTGAAAAGAAAAATAAAACGAAATGTGTAATGTATAAGTTTTCGAATGTATCGAAATTGGACGATAACCAATAAACTTGTAGATGGCATCGGACGTAGTGCATTTTTATAGACTTCCATAAAATATTATAGCTCAAGTATCGAAGTTATCTAGCTCTGTTGGTCCTTGAGGCAAACTTTGTAAAAACGTATTTGTACTCTTTTTTCTTTGCTTTATGAATAATTTTATCTTACAAAATAATTAATTATTTTATAATTTGACCTATTACCGCTGCAAAAATGTTTTGCGTCAACTTAAGATGTTCTTTCAGGGTCGTTTGTTACCTTTTCAGTTTATCAATAAGTAACGATAAATAAAGCTTTTCCTATGTGCTCTCTTTATCTATGTTAAAAGCCGTAATAATCGAATACAAAAAATGTAAAGTTTATGGACATCAAAGATAACCTGACATGAATTTTGTAGCATATTTCTAAAGCAATCAATCGCCAACAACTCACACCCGTTCCGTATTAACCTTAAAATCAACTGCCAAGGACTTTTTAATTGAAAAATTACTCGAACACAATAGCCGGAAATACGGACTAAATCCAGACATAGCCCGAAGCTACAAAAAGGCTCTTAAAAAGATATAAAAAATCAAGATGTATTGGAGCGACCGCCTACCGCAGCCAAAAATAGACTACGAATAAATACAAAACTTTTTGGACGCAAAACCATAAATCCAAAACCGGGCACAATGAACCCTCGACTCTATTAAGAAGCTCTAGAAGTTGTTTCGGCTTATTTGTGAGTTGGACTTGAGTTTATTTGATGTGGTTGATCCAGGCATCCGTGTTTACATGTCGGCAGAAGAAATTATTCCCAGGACGTGTTCGGCTGTAAGTTTTTAAATAAAGCAAAGCACGCGAGCGTTTTTGGGCCATTGATAATATGATACCGGATTATTTGGACTTCACCGTTTGCATTTGAATAAGATGTTACCGCATTGGAAGCGTTTTCTTTACTCTTTAGAATATTATTTATTATTGATAACTTTTTTGTTTCTTTTTTATTTTTCTGAATTATGTTTCCTATTTGTAGTGGGGATTGATATACGTTTACGTTACTTATCGTTGTTTTTTGTCACATTAGTGTAATATTTATTTTTTATCAGAATGTTTCTGAGACCTATACATACATGAAAGAATGAAACAAAACTCTACCTTATTACGAAAATGCGTTTAAAAATGCTGAAAAACGACAACGACTTTTT